ACAACACCCACGTCATGTACAGATCCTAAAGCCTGATTCGCTGGGTTTGGATGCCGTTGTGATTCCCATACATGAGCGAATCAGCACCACTGTTATGACATCTTTCCTTCCACACACATTATGCCCAGTCTTCTTCCCATCAAAAGCACCCAGCCGCACCATTGACAACACAACCCAGCGAATCCAGTCACATGCAAAAGCAAACCAAAATCGAGCCATTTGTTCGCTACAGCAAACACGGTACCACGACAATGAACCGCAAAATAATGAGAGATATGATGGATAGACAATTAGGCGACAGCATCGATTCTTTTTACAACACTTTAGACATGTTCTTCCTCACCGATACATGAATCCCCCGTAACACTACCCAAACGTCAAAAACGAACGCGTAAACGACTGGGGAAAAAAAGAAACCACCCACCGTAAAAAAATTACCCTCGGAGCAACATCGATGACTCCACGGACAAACACCACAAAGAAGGTAAGCGAGAGCGAAAAAAGTTTACCCGTCGCAACCGCGTAGAAAAAATAATCGCGGGAAGGCAAAAAAAAAAATGCAATGCAGAAGACGGAGGATTACTACATGCATCACGGAAAATTCATCCACGTGGAGATTTGCAAAGGACGGAAAATATCTAATCAACTCGACGGGACGAGACTCATGAATTCCTACCGATCAAAAATTTCCCATGTCGGAAAAAACTCTCAATATCACACAAAACTAACAACCCACCTCTCCAGCCACCCAACCCCATCCCCTCACCACCCCCCTCAACCTCAACCTCCACCTGCTCGCAAACATGCTGCACAAACCCCTGCATCGCCGGTCCGTCTTCCTTGACCCACAAACGCCCCGCATCACCCACGCCCCCATTTACACACTACTCGAGTATTTCGAATCCGTGCGTCGGACCCGCGCGATTGCGTTGCGCGCCACTTGAGTTGCACGAGTATCCGCGGCGGGAGCGGAATGGGAGGGTTGATAAGGGGAAGGCGAAAGTGGAGGGGGTAGCGATGGTAGGAGGAAGAGGAAGAGGGGAAGGAGGGGCGCATATGATGAACTATACAGGACAGAGGAAGAAGTGGAGTCATGATTTAGTGTAAGTGGTCTGCATTTCCCTTACTGCACTATCTTTCCATGACATTCGGGGATTTTTCTTTGTGCGAGTCAGAGTAGGCGACGGTTTTAGGTCGCGTGTATATGGGGTTAAGTTTAGTGGGTTGCGCTTCCCCTCCCCCCCTTTTTTTTTTGGTAACGATTCATTTCGTGTGGAGAGAGAGAGAAAGCGCGCGCGTTACGCTAAAGTGTATGTGTAAGAAGGTTTTGCTTAAAAGCGGTAACTAACGTCTCTTCTTTTTTTTTGTTGCGCTAAAAATATAATATAGTGCTCGCATGCGAGAAGATGATGGTAGTAGTAGTAGTAGACGCAACACTGCTTCTCCTGCTATCTCGCCTGCTCCTGCACAGCCGCATGTCGCTGTCGCTGTCGCATCACCGGCATCCAGACGCGATAGTATGGAGCCCGAGGCCCAGATGCCGAATGTCACGACGCCACTCGTTACTGTGCTGTCGCCACAGCCGCAGTTATCACCGGCCCAGCGCCAAATGCAGCAAGATGCAAAAGAGAGTAGCGAGAAAGAGGGAGAGAAGAAAGAAAGCAAGAGCAAGTTGCACCATATGAAGCGCATTTGGAGCAGTCTTGTTCGAAAGTAAAAGACATCTTTTGCAAAAGAAGACTAATTTCCTGTCGCCTTTCTACAGTCACAAAGGTTCTAGACCTACCGCTTTTGCATTCCTCCTTTTTGTTATCGCATCAAAGATAAGTGTAGTGATACAAAAAACTATACCTGCGGTCTAGACTCTCCATCATCATCATCACGACGAAAGCATCCAGACTCACGAACGAACAAGAAAAAAAAGAAGGAAAAACGCGATTTGAAATCTTTTTCAATCGTGGACCTCGTTTATCTTGCGCACTGAAGGGCAAACCGGGTCTGGCCAATAAACCCTTTTCGTTTCTCTCGTTCTCGGATTTCTCTCGTTCCATTGGCGAAAGGGAAAAAAAGACACCTCCATCTGGCTCGTGTCTTCTTGCGCGTGGCCAGGCTGAGTGTTGGTTTTCTTTGCGTTGGGACCCTCGGTTGCGGTGTGAGCAAAAGGGAGGGTCGCGTGTGTCACGAATTACAAAGAATATTTTATCATTTCGTCCAGGCTGCCGTCGGAAAGCAGCAGTACTTTTGGTTGGTGTGTCTGTGTGCTATGCGTACGTGCGTGCGTGTGTGTGTGCGTGTGTCGAGTCTCCACAGAGATGTGTGTTAACTCATTTTTTCTGGCCCTTCCACGCACAGACCCCCTACTGTGGAAGAAATTCCCGTTGCGCATTTACAGATTTTCCGAGGTATCAAGGGGTTGAGTATGTTTTTTTGTTTTCATGGCGTCTAGACGCTCAGCGGGCAATTGGTGAGAGGCTTTCTTCTTCTCGCCTCAGCGTCTATGGCCTCCGCTTCTGTTCGCTAAAGGGCGCACGCACTGGCTCAGTGTGCCCTTACCATGTTCATCCTCATATGGCTGTTCTTTGTGACTGGTAGATACCAATTAGGATTTTTTAAGCGAAGGAGTTTTTTTTGGTCAAAAATGTTTTCGGTTAAGACAAGGCGGGGGTAAAAAGGAGGAGGAGGGGGGGAGGAGGCGGTGACATGGTGAGAGAAACATGGTGTGAACACCAGAAGATCAGGGTGGTCAAGTGAATACGAGGCTGTGATTCGAGACTTTTTACGCCGATAACGAATCCGGATAATTCACATGAATGGTGGCGCCAAGGTTGACGGCGACTTCCGGGGGCTTGTGGTGTGACCTTTGCTCCTTTCCGGATAATTATCGGGTATCGTGAGCGCATCACACCACACGCGCGCATGCAAGACCAGCAACAGCAACTTGATCATGCTGTGTTACCACTTGGAACTGCAAACTTGGTGTTCATGTCATGAGATATCAGCGATGATGTTGATATAAATCAGACACGACGTCTCTCTCACCAAGGCCTATACCATCTCAACCCTCATCGGAACATATCCGACCAAGTTATCATCTACACGTTGCCACCTGAAAAGAATTTTTTTCACTACAGTTTCCGATAGCGAACTCGACTGCTCGCCATAGCAATCAAAATGCATTACCGTTGGCATATACCACACCCCCATTTGCACTTTCGACGCCATCTAGACCAATGGCTCGCAGATGTGGCTGAAGTGTATAGTCGGGCTGCATAAAAAGACCAAGCTTTTACCCCAAGCTTTCCGGCAATAGCATGGTCAGTAGTACGCTGGGTACTGCCGAAGCCGTGTACGAGTTAGCCTGTACTGACGCCTCACAACAGAAGAGAGTAAGAGGAAAGTGAAACGAAGGCGGGCATTTGTGGAGCCCTGGTCTGGGGGGAGTTTGCTGATGTGTTGTTGAGGGAAAGCTATTTGGAACGGCCTGGACTTTGGCGGTGTTTTTTGATACCCAATGCATGTAGCCTCACGAATTTTATTGGTTGTATTCTGCCCTTCTTCGGTACAATTCGCTAGTGGCGCGTGCAAGGAAGTATGATGGAATTGCGCGACGTGTTTGCAAAGCTTTCAAGATTCAGGAACGACTTTGCTAGTTGGTGATGACGAGCTTGACCTCCAAACAAGCGGTGGGTCGTCAAGAAAAGAAATGCACTTGGTGACCCTGCCTCGTATTTTTTTTCTTTTTGGTCTTTTGTCATTGATCTTTCTAGCCTCAGGGCCGGTGTGAAGTTTTGAGACACCGGCTTGCACAAGACGAGAGGAACGAGGCGTGGTCACGGCCGTGTTGCGGTGATACTGCTGGTGCCTGGTTGTGCTTTTTTGTATGGTGGGCTGGTGTTGATGTGCTCAGCGCCACCGCCCTGACTGCTGGGCATACAGACATGCGTAGAAGACAGGTAGAAGTGGGTGTGCCACATGGTTCCCCTTTACTCCGCTTGCCCTGAATGGGCAGGCTGTTGCTGCTCTTGGAGGTCACGACGTCATAGTGAGATATGGGCATGGTTGTACGGAGCGGGTGATCTGACAGCAACCACTGCTGTGGGTAAGATGTCAGGCAGCGATTCTATTTACGAGTGTACTGGGGGCGGAATCCCACAGATCTCATTCGGCGATCTGGGATTTCAGGGCTGTGCCGCGGGACTGGTTGATCCGGGCCAGGGTTGCGAGTCATACGGGATGCAATTTCTGATCTGAATGGGGAGTTGACAAGAGATAGCGGTGGTTCTCATCGAGTCCGAGGCCGGCAAGAGCCCGAACGCGAATGCTCCTTTATCCATTGGGCATAGCTCATGTGTGGGGGAGAAATTTTGTGGAGCTTGTGACCGCTGCAAGAGATTTGGAAACGATGCCTGAAGGTCGGCGACGCCTTTATTGGGTTGCGGGCCGCACAATATTGCCTAGCAGACAACACCAAGAAGCGCAGGTGTATGGCACCGCTCGGCCTCAGGCTGTGAGTTACGTGGCAATGACGATGATGGGAGCGGGGCTGGCATTGCAGTACACAATGGCATTGTGGAGTTGTCCGAGTACAGACACGTGCGCGCCGTACTGAAACGGATTCAGAGTTGGCGGTTGGTGGACGTCTTGTTCAAAGTGAAACGGGGCTGGGGGGGTTGTTTGTCTCACGGGTATTGCTGTCTGATTGTCTACTGGCTTGATGCCGAGATTACACAAGATGCGAGCAAGAGGTATGTGGTGCGTGAAGAGGCGCATTGCGTAATGTGGTATCCAGCCCCCGGGGTTACAAGATGATTGGGACCAAGGCAAAACGTGTTCCTGGGGTTACAGACGTGGACAATGAAGCCAGCGAATGTAATAACATTTGGTGTATGCAAGGTGATGAGCGCCAGGCCCGAAGCTGCGGCGCTAGTGCAGGGGTGCTTCTTGGGGCAAGCTGAGCGCAGTCGCTGCTTGGGTCGACGAGAGCAGCGTTGCAGTGGCAGTGGCAGTGGTTGCATAGTGGTCGCCTGGGGATTGTGCCTGTTCGGATGCAGCGTTGTGCCGCCTGCTTGACTAAGGGGACGATACTTGGAGCGAACCAGTTCGGGATAGAGGTGAGGGTGGTGATGGCAATCATGAGGTGTCTGTGTGTGTGTTTACTCATCGCCAGGCACGCGGTGCCCGTGTGGATTGGTGGAGATGGCGAGCATGGGCCCCAGTCAAGCATTCGTGTACCTGCATGGTAGCCTGATCTGGCATCGCAGCAGATGCTCCCTTTGATTTGGACGTGATCCTGTGATCACGATGCAAGCAAGGTAGCGAATCCATCGTTCGGCGCATGGGGCGCGTTGCGCTAAGCAGTTCATTGCTTTTTGCGACAGCTGTCAAATTAGCATCTGGTCTCGCTTGGCAACCTTGGATAGTAGATGATTAGCCTGGAGCAGACCGAGGGGGCAGATCTCGTGCTAGGCGCGCTGCACAGCGTGGACAAGCAGGCGGTGAGGTTCACTATCCCACGCTGCACTGCGCCTGCGCATAGTACCGACCATGATGCATGGCCCTTTTGTTTTGTCGTCAGGATTCATGGATGGATATGGTTTGGATGCGAGTATACACACTACACCCATATACACATACACACCACCACACACACACAAAAGACACACACCGTCTCGAGACACTCGGACAGAGGGCAAACACGCGGTGAGGCCCATGTTCTAGGCTCTGGGGTCTGGGGCTTGGGGCCTGAGGTGAGGGGCAGGGTTGTGTGTATTTACTTGCATGCCTGAAGCCTGCTCTCTCCCACGACGACGTGGACGACTGAGATGAAGCGGCTGAGGCGTTTGAGGGCAAGTTCCAAAACGCGGCTGATCGGCGTGTGCGAATAACTTTTGGACAGGAGGGGTCAGGGCATGGGTACGCGAGAGCGAGAGCGAGTGATAGGCTGTGTGAGAGGGTGGCCGCCCTGGCCATGTCGAGTGTGGAGCTGAGGCGTGCAGGGCAGCCAGCCCCTTGGTTCAGCACACCAGGATCTGCCGTGGGATCCTTGCGTCGACGGCAGCTAAAAGCAACGAGTACTGATCTGCCCAAAGCACGAGTGATGACGGAAACGGTAGAGCCGCAGCCATGTACCACGTTTTGGGGGCGCTGTCACCACCCTGGTCCCTGGACTCCATCGGCGAGTGCGGCGCTATGGCGCTCGGTCTGGTGGGTACCATCCTGAGAGCTGGGTAACATGTCGAGTCCGTTGCTGGTATATAACACTTGGTCGCCCTAGCCTTCAACACTACTCACACCACGACTACACAGACAGCATCCACTACTACCACAGCAACAGCCACCACAGCCATCACAAGACTACTACTACTACCACCACTACCATCACCACCACCACCACTACTACCGCCACTGCCACTGCCACTTCCTCTTGACCAACACTTTCTCTCTCTCCCAATATACCCACAATCACATACTCAGCAAACATGTACCAAAATCTTGGACACACACCCAACTGGGACGTCTGCTTCCAGCAAGCCCAGCTCACAGAGGAGAACCTGCGATCACATGGCTCCACATATGCCTCAACACATAGCCCAACACATGTCAAGGTAAGCACTCGGACCTTCCCCTCAACATGGCGCTTTCAAGAATCAAAATCTAACTCTTTCTCCAGGCGGACAGTGCTTGCTACATGCTAGAGCCTCAACAGTACTACCGATACGACTTGGATCTCGAGGAGTCTGATGATGAAGATGCAAGCTCGCAAACAAAGCGAATGGCTCTTCGAAAAGCAGCTTCGATGGAGGTGCTCAAGGCCTATGGCGGATGCTTTGCCTCTGGCTTCCTCGCACTCCAAGAGCCTCTGCCCAGCCGACCACAGTCCAAGCTGCGACGATATGAGAGCGCAGATGCCTTTGAGATCCGACGAACAGCATCCATTGCGACATCACTCGAGAGCGGGTCAGTCAGCTGCACAAGCAGCAACAATGACAGCCCGCGACCCGACTCTGCTACTCTGAGCCCTGCACAGCTGCAAGAGGCGACACGAGGAAGCAAGTGGAGTTGGAGAAGCATGAGGAAGAGCCGAAAGAACGCAGCCAAGAAGCTCGATGTTTGAGTGGGACGACAGTAGCAGGCGCTCGCCTCCTCGTCATTAATGTTTGTTTCTTTGATCGTTTTATTAGCGAAGGTGTTGGGGCGTTGAGGATTGCGCACAGTGCAGGACTGCCACCTGCCATTTTCATTTGTTTGGGGGAAAAAAGTCATGGACAAATTGTCGTCTAGTAGATCAAGTCACGACCAGTCATCAGCAGTACTACTATAGGGAGTAATAACCTCCGAACGCGGCTCAGCGAGCCTGCGCGGATCATCAATCAAACTTGTGCAAGAGCAAAACAACCACCAGACCAAACCAAACCAAACCAAACCAAACATGAGCGTGATTCCGACACAGATGATGATTAAAATTCCAGTGGTACAAGCGGAGACGCTTGGAGAGCCGGCGTTGGGGGTTGAGAGGCGATAGGGTGGGATCCTGGACGTGGGATGCATGCGGGGAGAGTACCGGTGACCGGGCAACTCGCAGCCGAGCCAGTCACAGCATGAGGTGCTGTCGGGGAAAAGAGGCTTGCAGCAAGGGTCGGGATAAAAAACCAAAGGTAAAAAAGTGCAATGGCCGAGGAGAGGCATTGAAGCCGCAGGATGCGAGACACGGAGACGAGACGCTGAGAGGGGAGAGGAGAGGAACTGAGGATGGGCATGACGTAACAGTGGGGTTGCTGCTGGCCATGGTGTGGGCCGGCCATGGAAGCTTTAGCGGGCAGGAGCGACGGGGAGGGCGAGGGAAGCGACGATCATGAAGAGGGAAACGACGACCAAGACGACGATAAGCAGCGAGGCACAAGAGGCGCCAGAGACAGAAAACATGGCGCGGAACGGAACGACAAGTACAGTACTCGGGCGTGTGCCCAGCTACCATTTGCTCCGTCCGCCGCCGCCGCCGCCTCCCCCCCCCCCACGGGCGTGCCTGGATGAGAGAGCACATACACACACATTCAGCAGCCCATGCCACGCGTGGGTTTTGGCACAATGCAGCGCCCTCACCGCCTGGCCCTGTTGGTCCCTATCGTGCTATCGTGCGTGCTGAGCAAAGACAGACCCACCATTGACGCCTGCCGTGATGTCCTCTGTAGCCATCGGCGCACCTGCCGGCTGTCGTCAGTCAAAACTGCCTCGCTCGCCGCCCCAGGTCACTCTGCCCTTCTCTCCCTCCTCCCCCGCCCCTACTAGACCTGCATCCCTCCCCTTGACGCCGCTCTGCCCGCTGACACAAGGTCCGTCGCCCCTATGCCCTCCACCCGCCCTCGTCCAAGACGTCCCGCCCCGCCCCCACCCCAGTCCGGCCGCATTGAGCGTCTCAGCTAACTTTGGCCCAGTACATACGCCATAGCTCTCCCACGCTCTCACTCTCACAGCTCCAGCAATCTCCATCATCACCACTGCCACCCAACCCTCAGCCCCAACCCTCAGCCCCAACCCTCCCGCCCTCATACTCCGCTCCTCCCGCTCCATCAGTGGCTCCCTCCTCCCTCCCCCATAGCATGAGCTCGCAACCCTTGAAGCCTCGCCGAACCTCGTCTGTGGCTGACCCGTACGCTGCGCCGCACATCTACTATGGCGAGAGTCACTCGCAAAAACATCCCAGGGCAAGAACCTACTCGGCTGTGAGCATTGCCTGCCACCCCTCATCCCATTGTCTACATTGCTCACACCAAGCAGAACGTAGACCAATCCACCCGCAATGCCCCATTGAGCGAGGGCATTCCTGCCGGCCGCCGCACCAGTCACGGTACGTACTACGGCAGCACATATATTTGGCCACGCGCTGACAATGCCTCTAGATGAGGCTTCGCTGCAGCCGCGCCGCTTCAAGATCAACGTCGACGAGACCCTCGCCCAGCTTCTCGCCCGTGAGGATTCTGACCAAAACTACCAAATCACCATTGAAGACAAGGGCCCCAAGGTACGCCATAAGCCCCTTTCTTCTGCTCTATACATATACATGCAGTATGGCTGACACATACGTAGACCCTATCTCTCGGTACTCTGGGCTCCAATGCTTTCAAAAAGCACGATGTCCGCGGCACATACATGCTCTCCAATCTGCTCCAGGAGCTCACCCTCGCCAAAGACTACGGCCGCAAGACCATTGTCCTCGACGAATCGCGTCTCAATGAAAACCCGGTGAACCGCCTCAGTCGCCTCATCCAGTTTTCCTTCTGGGATGGCCTGACTCGCCGTATCGATGGCTCCAATATTGCAAAGGTCGCCGTCGACCCCAAGGACTGGACTGACGATCCACATCCTCGTGTATACATTCCCCAGGGCGCTCCCGAACAGTATGAGTACTACACACGCATTGCCCGCGAGCATCCCGATATGCGCCTTGAAGTCATCTGGCTACCACAGAATTGCGACGACCCTACATATGTGCGCGATCTGAACAAAGCCCCTGGTTTGCTTGCCATTGCCATGGAGGAATGGATTGATCCTGAAACCAACAAGAAAGACTTGAGAGGATTACCTTTTGTAGTCCCGGGTGGCCGCTTCAATGAGATCTATGGATGGGACAGCTACATGTGTTCACTCGGCCTGCTTGTCAATGACCGCATCGACTTGGTCAAGTCCATGGTTACCCATTTCTGCTTCTGCATCAAGCACTACAACAAGATTCTCAACGCAAACCGCACATACTACCTCTGTCGTTCCCAGCCACCTTTTCTTACCGACATGGCCTTACGCTGCTATGAACGCATCAAGCATGAACCTGGTGCGCTCGACTTTCTGCGCGAGGCCATTCTTGCTGCCATCAAGGAGTACAACTCAGTCTGGATGAGCCCGCCTCGTTATGATCCCGAGACTGGCTTGACCAGGTACCGACCTACTGGCTTGGGCGTGCCTCCGGAGACGGAAGCCACCCATTTTGAGCACATCTTGCAGCCGTATGCCGACAAACATGGAATGTCCTTCCACGAGTTTGTTGAGGCGTACAACTACCAACGCGTGCACGAGCCCGAATTGGATGATTATTTCCTGCATGACCGTGCCGTGCGCGAGTCTGGTCACGACACTTCCTACCGTCTTGAGAAGGTTGCTGCAGATCTTGCAGTTGTCGACATCAATGCCCTGCTATACAAGTACGAAGTTGATATCGGTCGATGCATTCGCAACCATTTCGGAGACAAGC